AAAGGAAAAATTAAGATATCAGATCTAGGCTATTCAAAACTTGCGAATGACCATACTCACTCAAAAACAGATCTAGGCATCATAAGCTATATCGATACGGCATTTATAAAAGATCCGTCTAACTATAGACGGAACCAAAAATCCGATATTTTCAGTCTTGGTGTTCTACTTTGGGTCCTTTCTAGTGGTCATCCTCCGACTAATCGATATGGATATTTTTGTTCCTCACCGGAAAAGGAAAAAAGAATACACGGAACGCCAGATAAATACGTCGAGCTTTATCAAAAATGCTGGGATGATGAACCAACAAATCGCCCAGATATTAATGAAGTAGACGAATACCTTAATAAAGTTGAATGGATAGATTCGTACCTCTCGTCGGAAAAAAGAATATACGGGACGCCAGAGGAGCCTTACCAAAATAGCCCAGTTATTAGTGAAGTAATTGAATGGACAAATTCTCCTATGGCTTTGGAAGACTTTCTTGAAGATTTTGTACCTCATTTTGAACCGGACGACATCTTTTCACAGTTATCTGACAAAGATTTACGACATAAAACTTTAGCGGACGATTTATTGACTCTTTTCCGGGAACAATATGATAAGATGGAAGATGAAAAAGTAGTTGCTTCTTTGAAAACTTACTATAATAGAAATATTCAATTTCCCTCTGAATTCAAAATTTATCTACAAGATAATTTCAAATATAAAACTTTTATTGGTTTCCTATATCAACATGGAGTTATCTTTGAACAAAATCACCTAATGGCGCATAAAATCTTTAATGAATGCGCACAAAATGAAGATTCACAAGCTCAATGCATACTCGGCTGGCAATACGTTAATGGAATAGGAGTAGAGGAAAATGATGACAAAGCTTTTGAATGGTTTTGGAAATCCGCAGAGGGTGGAAACAACTTGGGACAATATAGTCTTGGTTCCTGTTACGAGAATGGTATTGGCGTACAGAAAGACGACAAAAAAGCTTTCGAGTGGTATTTAAAATCTGCAGAGGGTGGATGTGATAAAGGGCAAACCAATCTTGGTCGTTGCTATGAAGATGGCATTGGTACTCCAAAAGATGTCAAAAAAGCCTTCGAGTGGTATTCAAAAGCTGCAGAAGGTGGAAACGTCTTGGGACAATATAATCTTGGTTTCTTTTACGAAAATGGCATTGGCGTACAGAAAGATGACAAAAAAGCTTTCGCTTGGTATTTAAAAGCTGCAGAAGGTGGAGATGATGATGGACAAAATAGCCTAGGCCGCTGTTATGAAAATGGCATTGGCATACAGAAAGATGACAAAAAAGCCTTCGAGTGGTATTTAAAAGCTGCGAAAAATGGAAACGTCCTAGGACAATATAATCTTGGTTTCTGTTATGAAAATGGCGTTGGCGTACAGAAAGATGACAAAAATGCTTTCGCTTGGTATTTAAAAGCTGCGGAAGGTGGAGATGATGATGGACAAAATAGCCTAGGCCGCTGTTATGAAAATGGCGTTGGCGTACAGAAAAATGACAAACAAGCCTTCGAATGGTATTTAAAAGCTGCAGAGGGGGGAAATGCCTTGGGACAAATTAGTCTTGGCCACTGTTATGAAGATGGTATTGGCGTACAGAAAGATGATAAGAAAGCCTTCGAATGGTATTTGAAATCGGCAGAGGGTGGATACGATGAAGGACAAATTAATCTTGGTCGTTGCTACGAAGATGGCATTGGTACTCAGAAAGATGTCAAAAAAGCCCTCGAGTGGTATTCAAAAGCTGCAGAAGGTGGAAGCGTCTTGGGAAAATATAATCTTGGTTTCTTTTACGAAAATGGCATTGGCGTACAGAAAGATGATAAAAAAGCCTTCGAGTGGTATTTAAAAGCCGTAGAGGGTGGCGGCGACGAAGGCATTTATGACAAAAAAGACTTCGAGCAGTATTTAAAGACCGTAGCGGGTGGAAACGTCTTGGGACAATATAAACTGGTACAAAATAATCTTGGTCGCTGTTCTCAAAATGGCATACAAAAAGATGATAAAAATACGTTCGAGTTTGGTAACGTGTATGGACAATGTTTTTAAGTTGCTGCTAGACCAAATCCTCAGAGGATGAAATTAAATCTCGGCTACTGTTATCAAATCATGAAAAAGCT